GAAGTGCCCACGATAACAATATCGTGCATATTCATTACCGTGATATATTGCATTACCGAATACCGGCACAAGTCTACCTGGTACATTTCAAAATTTACCTGTAGTGCTTTCTCAACCTTTCCTCTCCTCTCATTATAAAAACGGAGCCCTGCGCACATGACATGCAGGGGGGAAAAAAGCCATTCACATCGCGTCTTTTGCGTGCTCAGGTTCGTTATTTCAAATTTAGACACGCGCAAGCAAACACACTGCACACTTCTGCGCCGCATTACGGCTCTGACGAGGTTTTGTTTCGTCATCCATGCCGTAGGTGCAGATGTTTCTGCCGGTCGGTGCCCTAACGCGCACTTGTAATATCTGAGAGAGAGGGAGAGCATCCAGTTTTGTTGACATAAGAGCAGGGAAATCTATATAGAGCGCCTTATTGTAGTAATATATTGTAGTAAATTGTAGTATTGTATTGTAGTAAAATATCGATATTTGGCGCCAGATATCGATTCTCGTATCGCATGAAGAAGGACAACGATATATCGCCATATCGATATATTGTCCCACCCCTACCAGTCACCTCTGGTTTGAGATGTATACAAGGTCTGACTCCGCCAACTGTAAATTAATCTGATTGTTCGGACAGATATGTAAAATTTACTCCTCCCAGATGGAGCGTCATCAGCAGCATTGGAAGTTTGGGAGCCTCACAATCCACATGTTAATTAGTAATGATTGATGAGACACATGGATGTACCTTAAGCCCCTAATTGCCATGCAAAGAGAGCATTCAACAGAAAATTTTGCTGACTGGCATTAGCGTGAAGAAAATTTCAGTATATTTGCATATAGCACAGGATTTGTAGGTTTCTGTTATGTGCAGGCCAAATGTAAACGGAGTGTGCATCCAATCGGATAGCAGTCTGATCAATCAAGATGCATGAAGTGTAAAAAAGAGATTTCCCAAGAGTTTTTGTCTGAACTGAAATACTCAAATATTGTCTCAAAAAGATGGATAGATGATGTATAAATGGATGAATGGGATGCATGTGTAAATGGATGGATAAAATGGAAGGATGGATGGATGAATGGAAGTACTCAAATATTGTCTCAAAAAACAAAATAATGAGGTCTGGATGCAAAACTTTTTGTTGTTGATGTGTTAATGATTCACACTTTACATTCATAACTTAAC